AGAAAGACATCATGTCCACATTCCCCATATCCCTCCTATGGTGAGTGGGTTGAAGGGGAAGGCGAAGACAAGTTCACATATGTGGTACCTAACCCTAAAGGCTTGGATATTCTCATCTATCACTTGGATTCTCCTCATCTTGTGGGTAGTACTAGCCCTAACAGACGTTTTCCCCCTCGAGTAGAAGTACTTACAGGAGGGGATTCTTCAGAGAGGTCTCGGAGGATGAAGGAAACTCGGAGGACAGGAGAGCACTCGAAGTCTGATTGCTGAGGAGAGATTGAGGATGCAAAAGTTCTGAGAAGGTAGGAAAACCTCCTATTTATACTGCCCCACACGGAGCGGGAATCTAAAAGTTGACTAATCATTAGGGCATTTGAAAAGGGCAGCACCAGACGTGCGAGTAACCGTCGTCATTTATGAGGCATGATGATGGAGCCCCAATCCCTTTACGCCATTTGTCTTGCGCTGCGAAAAGGATTGCGGCTGGGGGGCAGTTGGTGGGACTCTAGTGCAGCTCTTCGGCCCTTGGGTTGACACGTGGAACAACGAAGCCATCGGGATGACCAAAAGATGCCGAGGAGGTAAGTCAAGGTATGGCGATACGGAGCGGCCGAGTACGACAGTTGGCATCGTATTTAATGAGATGTGACCTCACATTTATGGCGGAATGAGTGATAGTGACAGGGCAAATAAATGTGCACCTACAGGCGACTGCCCTCTGGGAGTCTAAGCCTACTATCATAATGGCTAAACATTAATGACTGATGCGCCGAGACGACGCATCAGATCTCCCGAGGAACTATTCCGCCGAGAAGTCAATGCTTGGTCGGTGTCAGACGCCGACCTGATGGATTTGGTTGTTCGAGGAGTGGCATAACTGATCGGTGGATGACCGAGCTATTACCCCATTTTCTTAGCATTCAATAGGAGGAGACGTGAATAGAAAACATTCATTGCACGAGGAATGGTGTGTCAGATATGAAGATATCCATATGAGACTGAAGATCTTTGGCAATCATTGCTAATTCAGGTATAAATATCTCTCAGAAAAATGGACAAAGATACGCAAACTCAAACCAGAAAAAGTCCATTAAGCAAAACCCTTCGATCTTTTACTGACTTAAGCTTCGGAGGGGAATAGTCGGGCACACGCCTGACCCCTTTTTTTTTGACTCTGTTGTTCCAGGTTCGCCAATTGGGAGATCGCCGCCTCACACGATTGCAGGAATCTTCCCGTGCAAATACCATGTTAAAATCTAAATAAGAAGAATAACGAAAGAAATAATAAGTGCAAGAGCACAAAGGAAATGACATGGTTCGATCTTAAAACCTATGTCCACAACATGCAAAACCTAAAGGACTACATCTTTTGTCAATCTTGATAAAGATTGTTTTTCAGAGATGGAGGATGGTATCTCCGAAATTTATTAGATTACCCTCAGATGTGGAGGAAGAATACCGTGGTCACAAATTCGACAAAACGAAAGAAAAACTAAACACACAAACTATAACATAAACAAACCACACAAACCAATGCACACTGACAGGAAAAGCATACATATCGTAACGGAGTAGTGCCACATACTCGGCATCCCAAGCTTATCCAGACATAAAATACCTATCAGTTGTCAAGGCATGTGTGCACTACTCAAGCACCTATTTGTCTCTCCTCTCGATCCCTGCTTTGCCAAATAATCTGCCACTTGATTTCCCTCTCTATATTGATGTTGAATAGTGAAATTAATCATGTTGAGCTCATTCATCAACTCATCCCAATAATTCCATAGATACCAAACCGTACACAAATGGGAGGATATCCATGAAACTACAAGAGAAGAATCATATTCAATATCAATGTAGTGACAACACATTTCTCTACATAGAGCTACGCCCAAAGTTACCGCTCTAAGTTCCANCTTGATTTCCCTCTCTATATTGATGTTGAATAATGAAATTAATCATGTTGAGCTCATTCATCAACTCATCACAATAATTCCATAGATACCAAACCGTACACAAATGGGAGGATATCCATGAAACTACAAGAGAAGAATCATATTCAATATCAATGTAGTGACAACGCATTTCTCTACATAGAGCTACGCCCAAAGTTACCGCTCTAAGTTCCGTTTCATTATTTGTTCTTTCCCCAAAATCAACCGAAAATGCAACTTTTACATTACCCAAGGAATCATTAATCACTCCCCCTCCTTTACATTGGCCCGGAATACCCAAACAACTTCCATCAATATTCAACTTCACTTTCCCATCCGGTGGTTTACTCCAAGTAACTAGACGTGATTGCCTAGTCGACATGTGTGCTGAGAACCAAGTGTTCTGAGAATATCATGATCTACAAGGANATTTCTCTACATAGAGCTACGCCCAAAGTTACCGCTCTAAGTTCCGTTTCATTATTTGTTCTTTCCCCAAAATCAACCGAAAATGCAACTTTTACATTACCCAAGGAATCATTAATCACTCCCCCTCCTTTACATTGGCCCGGAATACCCAAACAACTTCCATCAATATTCAACTTCACTTTCCCATCCGGTGGTTTACTCCAATTAACTAGACGTGATTGCCTAGTCGACATGTGTGCTGAGAACCAAGTGTTTTGAGAATATCATGATCTACAAGGGAGAGATTACTAAACTTTGAGATACCTTCCGATAACTTCTGCAACCAAGGTTGCTTGGAGTGATTTATGTATGCCTAAAGAGGAGGGAGGTTTAGGTATTAAGAATCTGAGGCAGTTTAATGATGTTTTAATGCTCAAGTATTTATGGCAACTTTTTATGGATAAACAGAATATCTGGTGTATGTGTATTCATTTCTATCACTTACATGGTAAAAGTCTATGGGAGGCCAAGCCATCACAGCCTAGCTCCTGGAATTGGATACAAATGCTCAAGCTCAGGACCTCATCAAACCTCACTTGGTGCATATTATAGGGAATGGTTCTAATACTTCCCTATGGTTCGACAATTGGCACCCGAGTGGGCCTTTATTGGTTGCAAGGAACCAGCACATCTTCAACACATCAAAACTTCCGAAGGATGCCAAAGTGTCTATGATCATCGCTAACAATCAATGGGCTTGGCTTGTGGGTAGATCTAGGGTATTGGATGATCTTAGTCGCTCTATGCCCAATTACTCACCAGATTCTACTAAGGAAGACTTTATCAAATGGACCCCCAAGTCAAATAGCAAGTTCACCACCGAATCTGCTTGGAAAATCATTAGGACCCATAACCCTAAAGTTCCTTGGTACAATCTAGTCTGGTATGTACATCTTATACCTAGAATGAGTCTCATTCTTTGGTTGGCTATCAGAAATAGATTAGGTACAAAGATAGGATCTCATCTTATGCACCATAAGTGGACACCACTTGCTCTTTGTGTCATCAACTCCCGGAATCTCATCATCATTTGTTTTTTAAGTGCTCGTATGCTTTTGGTATTTGGACTCAACTGATGCAGCAATGTATCTAGCATCCTCAAGCTCTCCAATGGAATGTCTTCATTGCTTAGGCAAGTGATAATTGAAAAGGAAAATCTTTGAAGGTTGTTCTCCTCAAGCTCTGCCTCTCTGTTACTATTTACAACTTATGGAGGGAGAGGAACAATAGAATTTTTAACAATCGGGTTACATCTCAACAAAGTTTGCTTTTCAGAATTCAGACAACTACCAGAGAAAGAATTTCTCTTCTGAAACTCAAGGCTAATCCTCAGAATCTTCTCTTAGTTCATCATTGGAACCTCTCTTGTGTTTTTGTTTGAGTTTTTTTGCGTTGCTACTGCCCTGGGATGGGTTTTGGGGGGAAGCCTTTGTTGACTGTGTTGTTTTATCATCCTCATATATGTACACTATTTTCTGGCCTACTTGCTGATTGGGGCTGCTTGATGTTTGTTGCTGCTGTGTTCAGCTATGATGTTTTGCTTTGTTANGTTGTTTTATCATCCTCATATATGTACACTATTTTCTGGCCTACTTGCTGATTGGGGTTGCTTGATGTTTGTTGCTGCTGTGTTGAGCTATGATGTTTTGCTTTGTTCTGTGTTAGCCGTCATGGTTGCAGGTGTCTGTGTTGTCTGTGCTGATTTTTGCTACTGCAAGTGGCTTGCTATGGAATCACATGAACCCTTGTTCTTTGTGTTTGTGTTCTCTTGTTGTTCTTGGTCTGCTATCTTGCATATCAGTGGCATTAATCGGCAGAATTGGTCTGTGTTCACTTTTATTGTTCGAGTTTGAAGCATTGGTTTCATGCTCTGTTTTTTGTCAACGAGTGTATTATTGTCAACAATTTTGTGGGAGATGCTCTTACTCAGGGCATCTCTTACAGACTTGTGCTTTTGAGTCTTGGTTTTTTAGGTTTTTTAATATTTGTCTTTGAGTCTTACGTGACTTTATTGTACATTTTGTTGGTGATTACCCTTGTATATCTGTTTCATTTTGATACATTTTATCTTCCGAAAAAAAAACTTCTGCAACCAAAACCGAATCGAGAACCATACCTCATTAGCAAAATCCTGAACAGCATCCATTCGGGCCTTATACAGGCCACCCACAAACGCCAAGTAATCAAACTTGGCGACAATCCAATCAATGTGCCAAGCTATTAAGATTGCCTTGCACAACTGAACCAGCAGTCAACCCGAGCAAGCCATGGTTGTTCAGCAACCCAATTAATTCTCAACGCCAACATTGCACATCGCCGAAGCTCTTGGGCATTTGTAACTAAACTCCGGAATGATCTACTGTTTCCACTTGCGCATCCTCACAACAATCACACTTGGAGTCTAAGGCAATCCCAATTGTTCGCACACGGGCATTCACAAATAAATAATTAAACTGTGCCTTCCATTAACATACCGCAACCCTATTTCTACAAAAGCTTGTGTCAAACCCCACTCGCCCATGGTAACTCCGGGCTTTTCACCCTTATGACTTCCCAAACACTAGATGTTAAGAAAAACTCGTTACTCGCTTGTTTTCAGATTAGCAAATCCGCTCCTTCTTTTTGCTCTTCAATTGTACTCACAACCTCCTCCGCCCCAGACTCTCCAACTAATTCGGCTAGATAGTCAATTTTCCAACTATCCTCTAGCCAACAATCACGCACTTGAAGCCGAGCATTAGCAATCTCATGTACGTGGTCACACAAAGGACCGCTTGCAAGCCAACAGTCAAACGAAAAGGATGTTCTTCTGTCTCGGATTTACCAAGTTGAATTCTCATAGACATCGAGCAACATGTTTAATATTGACTCCCAAAATCTGGACCCTGAGTGTGGGTTCTCTACCAAAGCTAGATGTCCAAAATCTTCATAAAGAATACACATGTGATACACCCACATATAAGGTGACTAATAGAATCATATCCCATAATCATATGCATTGGCACAAGTCAAAAGATCAAATTATGTCACCAAATATGGCTAATTGATTGAATATCAATTACATAACATCTCATAAATCATGGGATATATCTCTATTTGCAATAAAAACCCCGTCATCGCCACCACCTTACACCAGCAAATCATTGCCACTCTCATCCCACATTACTATTCTTCACTTTTATTACCATTTCATCACAAGCACTTCATCATTGCCACCGTTACCAACCCATCCCACCACCTTCATATATCCTACCACCACCTAATCATCTTGCCTTATTCTGCTGCCACCAACCTTTTCCTTACCATTATCACCATCAGCCAGACCATTACTACTCTACCCTAATCACCATTGTGGTGGTGGTAACGATGGTGACATGGCGGTGATAAGGGGTAATCATAGTAGTAGTGGTAAAGGTGGTAATTGTAGTTGGCCAGTGGAGGTGGTGGTAGTGATGATGGATTGTTAACCAACCAAAAGACTTGGTATTTGAAGTTGATCAAAACTCCACAACCTCCTCCATAATACACTCTTGACTGAGTCTATATTAGGCAGATTATATCTTAATTTCTGTTCAAATTTTTTAGGCTTAAACGCATAACAACATAGCAGCCTTGTATCTATAAACATACAATGAATGATAGAATGAAAGTCATGAAATACAAAATACAATATTGCAAACATTTTCACATATTCTTTCATGGTATCAGAGCTTTTTTAAAAGCTCACGCTTCTTCCTTTGATCATTTTTCTATTGTCTCTCATGGCTCCCTCTGATAATGGTTCCGCATCTATTTTCATTGCTCCTAATGTTAGCTAGCTTATCTCGGTCAAGTTGGACAGTGAGAATTATCTTCAATGGCTGTCTCAGTTTATCCCAGTCTTGAAGTCCAATGATCTCATGGGTTTCGTGGATGGTTCTGACTTGTTGGTTCAGATTTGCACCATTAATCCTTGGGAATTCAGTTAAAAGATTCTACACCTCTGTAACAGTTTCATACCTTAAAGAATAAAATTAAAACTTTGTTTTACCTTTTTTTCTTATTGATAATACCCCCAGGTTTTAAATCCGAACTTAAAACTTAAATGGTCTATGTGGAATCTGAATTAAAGTTAAGAGAGAGAGAGAGAGAGAGAGAGTTGTGGATGAGCATGTGGCTGTGGTTATTCATTGAATGGTTATGTGACAATGGCAATTGCCAACCCCAATTTCCTGGAAATTTCCCCCCCAAATCGCTCCCATCTCCAACCTCCCTCTTATTCCAGTAAGACTCTGGGCAATCCTCTGTTCTCTTCGGCTGATCACTTCTCTTCTCTTCTCTTCCAGCCAGCATTCTTTCTCACCACCACTGCTTGTGTATCTTTATTGTCTGCTTTTTACAGATTTTTTGTTGAATGATAGGTTGATAAATTTCTGTCGAAGAAGTGTGACTATGTGAAGGAATAGGTCTTTCTCTGTGTCTCTCTCTCGAATTTTTTTTTATATATCAACCAAATTCCAGGTTTTCTTCTTCTTAATTAATCACCTTTTGAAGTCCATAAATTATAGCTTTTAGCTATAAAACAATATCGCAGTCAGACATTGATTTATCAACAATACTATTTAACCAGCTCAAGGTGCAAGTGTAACTGCGCTCCACAATTGCAATTTCAAGATAATTGTTTACTTTCTTAACCGTTTAACTTTACTCACTAACTGATATCTACCAATCTTGAAAACAGAGCACATTCTTCTAGCTGGCATCAATGTGATGGAGTCATAGACGTTATGCCTACAACACTTACATAAAAATCATTTCTTGATTGAAATGCATTGCAATAAAGGCCATTTTTTTGACAGATCTGACTAGATATTACCAGTCGTAAGTTACATTTCTTAGAATCTCGTGTACTTACTTGTTATGCTTTTAATGCCTCAACAATTTTCTGTAGAAATTTTAAAAAGTAAAGCTTTAATTCATGTCATTGTAGATAGCTAATTACTTAATGTAATGACTAGCCATCATTACAATACTCATGCTTGTATTGTTGATTTTTTTATTTGCTTTTAGGTTCTATAGACAAGCCATTGCTTCGGTGACAGTATCAATAAGAGGTTGGAGGTTCCTTTGGCTAGCACATATGAGTATTGTTTTACAAGGAGAATGAAACCACCCAACATTTTATGGTGGACTGTAATTTTGCCAAGTCAATTGGACACAGGCTGCTTCACTATTGGGATTCAAAATTATAAGTAATGAGCCTCCTATTATAAGATTCATGAGGTTCATGGATCTCAGAGGGTTAGCATTTACAAATTGTGGAGTGTTTTCGATTTCCTTTGGCNATTATAAGATTCATGAGGTTCATGGATCTCAGAGGGTTAGCATTTACAAATTGTGGATTGTATTCGATTTCCTTTGGGCAACTTACCAATTAGGTACCTGGGTATCCCTATCATCACCATGAAGCTGAGGGTCAATGACTGTGCTATTTTGCTGGAAACTGTTGAGGCAAGAATTAGATCATGGGCTTCTAGATTCCTTTCTTTTGCAGGAAGATTACAGCTCATTCACTCAATCCTCTCCAATATTCATATCTTCTGGTCTAGTCACTTGATACTTCCCAAGAGTGTCCTTAACAATGTTGAACAAAAACTAAGGGCCTTTCTTTGGACAGAAACTGAGCTTAGGACAGTTGGAGCTAAAGTATCATGGAAGGAAGTGTACTTACCAAAACAAGAGGGTGGTCTAGGAGTTAAGGATCTTGTTATGAACAAAGAACACAACAAAAATAATAACGCAACGAAATAGAAAAATAGAACACAAAGATTTACGTAATTCGGCTCAACAAACAAGCCTACATCCATGAACGAAACACAGCGGCATAATTTCACTATTGAAAGGTTGGAGATTACAAGACCATTCTCAATAGACAAAACAACAAGAGAATNATCATGGAAGGAAGTGTACTTACCAAAACAAGAGGGTGGTCTAGGAGTTAAGGATCTTGTTATGAACAAAGAACACAACAAAAATAATAACGCAACGAAATAGAAAAATAGAACACAAAGATTTACGTAGTTCGGCTCAACAAACAAGCCTACATCCATAAACGAAACACAGCGGCATAATTTCACTATTGAAAGATTGGAGATTACAAGACCATTCTCAATAGACAAAACAACAAGAGAACGTATCAAACACTCTATTCCAATATCACAATAATTATTGGTGAGCAAGATCAAAATTGCCAAACAAGAGAACTCCTCCTTGTCGTTGATGCCACAATTACCATCCGCTGGAGAAGACCACAAAGTCTTTTTACATGCATCTGACAAATATAATTCATGTCTTGATAAAAGTAGTCTCCATTCCAACTCAAAGACTTATAAAAGTCCATTACCCACTTGGACTAAACCTTGTCCTATTTCGTATAAAATACCAAGTGATGACCCTTTTGCTGTGTAGGAGACATGTTGCATTGTTGTGTACTATTCTCAACGGACTACCCACAAAAATAAAACTCCAAATAATAAAAAAAACAATTTGACTTGAAATACAAGTCATCACAACAAATCTCCACCTTGACTTGTATTCCATCAAACCATCCAACCATAAGTGAATTTGACTGTTGCTTTCGTCAAATACCCCGAAGGGCACACTCAAATAGTGCAAACACCAATCAAGTCTAAGCAATGCTTGAACTTGAGCACTGGTACCGGCTTAGTAAACATAACTGCTGGGTTCTCTGCTGTAGCAACCTTTTTCACTGTAATAATACATTGAGTCATAACCTCACGAAGGAAGTGATACCTAACATCAATGTGTTTGATCCTTTCATGATACATCTGATTTTTGGTCAAGTGTATTGCACTTTGACTATCACAAAACACAGTAGTTACCTCCTCTTCCAAGTCCAAATCATTGACCAAACCTCTTAACCAAATTGTTTCTTTAACTACCTCTGATACCGCCATGTATTCTGCCTTTGTGGTAGACAAAGTAACTGTAGACTGTAGGATCGGTCTCCAACTTACAGTGTACCCAAATAAAGTAAAAACATAACCTGTTAGAGATCTCATTTTATCTAGATCACCCGTATAATCTGAATCAACAAAACGAACAACTGTAGAATCGATGTCATCTTCTATCAAATACTAAGTCAATATCTGTAGTGCCTCTCAAATAACAAAGTATCCATTTCACAGTCTGCCAATAAACCTTTCTAGGATTAGCCATGTAACGGCTAACCACACTAACTGCTTGTGAAATATCTGGACGAGTGCAAACCATACCATTCATGATGCTCCCAACTGCACTAGAATAAGGAACACAAGACATAAATTGCTCCTCATTCTCACTCTGTGGTGATAAAGTTGCTGAAAGCCTAAAGTGAGCGGCAAGTAAAGTACTCACGGGCTTCAAATTCTGCATCCCAAAGCGCTCAATAACTTTCTCAATATATTTCTTTTGAGATAAATATAACATACCTGCTCTTCTATCCCTGTGAATCTCCATACACAAAATTTTCTTTGTAGTACCCAAATCTTTCATTTCAAATTCTGAACTCAACTGTTGCTTCAACCTGTCAATCTTTAACATGCTTTTAGCAACAATAAGCATGTCATCCACATAAAGTAATAAATATATAAAAGAACCATCTAACTGTTTGTGATACACACAACTATCATAATTACTTCTAGAGTAACCATGATAATGATGTCAAAACATTTGTACCACTGCCTTGGAGACTGTTTCAAACCATATAATGATTTCTTCAACAAGCAAATATGATATTCTTTACCATGAACAATAAATCTCTCTGGTTGATGCATGTAGATAGTTTTCTCTAGCTCATCATGTAGAAAAGCTGTCTTTACATCAAGTTGTTCAAGCTCAAGATTGAGTGAAGCAACAATTGCAAGCAATACACAAATAGAGCTATGTTTCACCATTTGTAAGAAAACTTCATTGAAGTTCACACCCTCTCTCTGACTGTAGCCCTTTGCAACTAACCGTGCTTTGTACCTTGCAGATTCAACCCCTGGGATTCCCTCATTTTTCTTGAAGACCCATTTGCAGCCAACAGTCTTCATGCCCTTAGGCAACTTCATTAATTCCCAAGTTTGATTCTTATG